ACAGGTGGGGAAACTAACCACCTACTGGCAAGGACTCTGGACCGTGGTGCGGCAGATCTCCCCCTGGACGGTGCTGATTCAAGGCAGGGAGAGGGGTCGGGAGACGGTGGTAAACATCCGCCGATTGAAACCCAGAAGGCGACCCCTGCCAGGGAGGCGCCCGCCTCTCATGTACCCTGACACCCCAAACCCCCCCCCATGCCCCCCATACCTGACAGCTTCACTCCATACATGGGCCCCGCTGTGCCTGAGCCCCCAGTGGACCCAGGCCCAGCAAGGAGGCAGTGGGCACAGCGGCACGTAAACCCCTCCGCACCTGAGTTTGTTCCCCATACAGGTGACATTGGAGGGCAGGAGGAGCCTCTGGAATGGAGGCGGAGACCACCACCGGGGCCTCGTGAAGCTGAGCCACCATCCACTAGCAATGAGAACTGGGCGGACCCTGCGGACTCCGTGGCGCTACCTGGTTGGAGCGACCCAGGCGAGGTGCTCCAGTCAGCCCGGGACGGGGATGGGCACCTCGGGGGGGGCTATGTGGTGCCACGACCTCGAAGCCACTCTGCAGGCGCCGCGACCACCCCTGACCTCCACACTGCATACACACACATCTCACACATGTAGTGTCCTGACGGTGAGTCACCTGGCAGTCGGGTTTTAATCCAAGGATTGCTCTGGGGAATGTCCAACGGTTTCCCGATGCCAAGAGATTGGCTCGACCCAACAGGACAGTTTACATCGCAGTGCCCCTGAATTGGCTTGATAGTGTATGGGCACAAAAAGATTACCGGGTCAGCTGCGATGAGTCCTACATTCCTGAATATGGCGTGGGGGAGCAGAGTGAAAAGTGCGGGAAAAGAAAACAATAGGTCGGAGGAGCTCAACACACGCAGCTAAGAAGCAAGCCCGGCATGGCCACAGGTAGGCGCACGATTGGTCGCGCGGAACACGTGACCCAGGTTTTTTGAAGTCGGATATAAAAAGGTGGGACTGTGGAACTAAGCGGGTTCTCGTCTCCTACATATGAGTCGTGAAGATCTCAGTCAGTCCTCCTCTCTTGGCTACTCACAGCGTCCGTGTGACGCCAGTGACTGCAGCGACGAGGTATTGAAGTCAGAATGTGTTTGTCATCTGTTCTATACCTGCTGCTGTGTTTGTGTACAAGCAGCTCTGCGTGTGATGTCGCTCTCAAAGACAAAAACAAAACAATAAATCGCTCTTCTTCTTTGAAAGGTTGGCTTACAGATCCTGGCAGGGGTGCAGAGATGCGGTTTGGAACATGCTTGTGTAGTGGCATAGCGCTGGCTGCTGGCGGAAAAGGGTAACTGCGGTGTATGGCAGTACCCACTTCAGCAGGCCACGAAAGACACGAGAAGTGGACATCTTGAGGAAAGGTCACAGAGGGGTCTATCGGGAAGCCGTGGCCGCGGCGAAGCGAGGCCACGCTGAGAGTTTCAGAGGGGCCTCTGTAGGGGACCTCGGGGCTGTTGCTGGAAGTGGGATCCCCGTCATGCTGTTCAAGATCGTCATTACCATCTCGTCGCCATCGTCGCTGCCATATTCACTCGATATTGCGCTGCTAGATGGTTGTTGGCTGTCTCCGTCAGCGCCGTCAGTGTTAGACTGTTAGAGTTGTGTTTAGGCTCGCGACTGTAGAGTGTGCACCCACGTAGGGTATGTATTATCCCGATGGTGTTTGTTAATTAAAATAAGTGTATCCAAGTCTTACTGTCTCCGAGTTAGTCACTACACTTGTATTAAACAACTGATTTCATAAATAAATACTTCACAGACAGAAGGCCATGTGGCTGATGTTATGTGTAAAAAAATGTGTGTGGTGTTATCTGCGTATTTATGGGGAGACAATAGGTGGGTGAAGGCTGAACGTTACACTCCTGAGATGTTGCAACACGGTGCAATAAGGGAATGAGTCAGTGCTTAGGCACGTTGCTGTTGTCATCGCAAGATTTTAAATGAGACATTATTACTGCTCTCTCCGGCTATTAAGGTTAACATTTTTAAGCATCAATTAGGTTATTACAGTGTCAATGAACAGCGAACTTTTAATACATTTATAAAGTAAAGCCGTGGTTGTGGCTCATGCCACAACCCAGCCGGCGGGTCGGCCGCCGGGTCCCGTGGCGCCTCCTCCAGTAGTACAACGAGTGAGAGAGGGGATCTCGGCGCCGGCAGGACCCCCATAGGAAGCCGGCGCAGTAGCTCCTGGAGCACCCTCTCCACGCGGGAAATGCGGTCCTGCATGGGGTCCGGGCCCCCTACTGCTGCTGCTCCCACGAGCAGGCCCTCTTGTTACCCTGGCCCTGGGAGGATCCCCGGGCGGGGGGGGGGGGTCTCCGGCCCCTGCTTCCTCTTCCATTGGCTCTTTTCCGCTGAGGTTGTAGCCATTGTCGGAACCACCGTTGCCACCCGATGTAAAGTAGAGCCGACATGAGGTTGCAGGTGTTTCGTCCTTTTATTTCTTCCCGCAGTCCAAACTTGCCCCCAGCCTTCTCTGTCCGTTCCCCGCTAGCTCTCCCCTTTGCACCCCTCCTTTACTTAAGACATGCTATACGGTGACAATAAAAACAAGACCGTCATATATTCACAATTTTCATCCAATTTTTGGTATCAGATAACCGTAAGCCACATGCCATTTTTAAATCCAACGGTAATTGGCTACATTCGCCCTAACTTAATTTAATCCTGATCTTTGCAGCTCGTGTTGTCGTTGCTTAATGTTTACCATACAGTGCTGGAAAATGTTAATGAACATATTGGAATACTGCACACACTACATATGAAATCACCAGTTATCAATGCGCAAGTAAAAGTACATTGCTTGTACTACAACAAAAATGCAGTTTCTTTGTTAAAAGATGGTGTTGAGGCTTATGCTTAGATGTCGTAAGAGCATTATTGTGCAAGATGTCAAGATTTGGTGTTTTGCAGTGATGCAATGTTCAAGCAAAGAACATGAACATGAGCCCTTACTTGACATATTGTCAATTATCAAACTGAGCTGGACATGTTGGTCACCAACAATTGTGTATGTGTGAAGGAAGGTGATTAATGTGATTATTAGCGAACTCCACTTTGATCTCAACAACCTGACACAAAATACTCATTCCAGTCCTTATCTCTATACAGTACAGTAAAACCTTGGATTGCGAGCATAATTCGTTCCGGAAACGTGTTTGTAATCCAAAGCACTCGTATATCAAAGCACTCGTCTATCAGTTGTGATCACGTGACGCTTCGGCAGACAAAGCGTATTAGTACTACTCGTATTGCAAGACCTCGCTCGTTTATCAAAAAAACACTCGCAGAACAAGTTACTCGCAATCCAAGGTTTTACTGTACAGGTCGTCCCCGACTTACGATGGAGATGCATTACAACGACCCCATTGTAAGTCGAAAATATCCTAAGTCGAAAATGGCCTAGCCTACCCAAGAGTCTTAAAGAATGGTGATAATTTAGCAAAACAGAGCAATTTACAGTACCGTACTGTACAAACTATATACTGTATGTATTCATTAATTACAATACTGTATTGCACAGTAAAATGTAAAGTAAAAAACAAGGTAAATTCTTAGCCTACCTATATGAACTGGAATTTCATAGAAAGTTTGTTCAGGAAACAATCCTATCTGCCATAAAACACTTTTAACATGCATTGAACGTATGTATCGTATCGTGGTAACCCTAAAATGAAATCGCTAAAGCTATGTTTCATACATGCATTGAACGTATCGTAACGTATCATATTCTATTGTACTCACAAAGATCCTGTCCGTCGTCTGCATACTTGAACGATGTTAGGTTGTTGATGGCTACGTTAACTTAGTTGTCGGAAGAAGAGGATGGCGATGATAAAGTTACAGTATCGTACCTCGTACGCTGCTGCGTTTGCCTGCCGAGCGAAATTATAACTATTTTACAATTGTGTCATATCGCTATCGACATCGTAAGATTGAAATATCCTAAGTCGGACCATCGTAAGTCGGGGACTACCTGTGTATATAAAAGGAAAATTTGTGATTATGTGTGTCTGTTCAAAATGTTTAGCGTACTTCCCGACGGGCAACAAACTTGAAATTTGCCATGTGGGTACTTTCAGACTGTACACCATGCAAAAATGATAAAAATAGACTTTTCTATATATTTTTTTGGGGGGGGCTCAATAATGCATGTTTTGCACGGCAAGTGAGCTGTGACGTCACAAATGTCACGTGACCCGTGTGCGGAAGCGTAACGGAGTGTGCCTGCTGATCGCGGGTAAAGCGAAATACAAATGTGTTGCAGGTCTAAGGCGTTCTTCGAGCAGCATTGCTTTATTATTTCAGTCGTTTACTGACAGGCTACACGGGGGGATCTTTGTCTTTATCCTGTGTGTGCGTGTGGTAGGGGTGGAGGCCAGCGACTGCGTAGCGATTCGCGCGCCGCGCTACGAACCCGGCGAACCCGAGTTCGATTCCCGCTCACGGCCACCACCGGTGACGATTATTTTAACCGGTCCTGGGCCTCCCCTAGGTCGACTCAGCCTCAAACGAGTAACTGGTGTGGTGTGTGAACATCGCCACTGGGGGTGGGGGGGGGACGACAAAGGCGGTCGGGTGTGGTGAATCCAAGTCCCGGGCGAAGCCGGGTCGTGAAGCTAGTATACTGTATAATACTATAATTCAATACAAAGGCAGACCGTGTACTCCTTCAACGCTCATACTGTACTGGAATATATAGGTAGTCCTCGACTTACGACGGAGATGCGTTACGATGACCCCCCTATCGTAAGTCAAAAATATCGTAAGTCGAAGATGGCCTAACCTACCCAGGAGTCTTAAAGAATGGTGATAATTTAGCAAAACAGAGCAATTTACAGTACCGTACTGTATAAACTAATTAATTCCAATACTGTGTTGCGCAGTAAAATGTAAAGTAAAAAAAACAGGGTAAATTATTAGCCAACCTATATGAACTGCAATTTTAATGGAACGTTTTTTTTCAAGAAAATCTTATCTGCTATATAAAAAAACAACTTTAAACATGCTTTGAAACGCAAAAAAAAACACAGAAAAAAATATACACGCGCTAACACCGAGAACAACTTCAACTCCTATTCTTGGTTCTTTCGGTAAAGTCACGTTGAAGGGTATAAAACAATAAAAAAATCAAAAATTTAACTTCAACTCCGTCGACCAGAGTGTTGAGAGTGAGGCATCACCACCACACAAGGCCGGGAGATGTGTACATCCATGCAGCGTCCCAGCGTCCAGTATCGCACCTCGTACGCTGCTGCGTTTGCCTGCCGCGCGAAATTTAAAATATTTAACAATGTTGTCGCATCGCCATCGTAACATCGTAACATCGAAATATCGTAAGTCGGACCATCGGAACGCGGGGACTATCTGTACTCTCAAAAGGCCGCGTGGCTGCTGGGATTTGTTCAGTTAAACATACTTGAGTTTGTTTTGATGTGGATGGACATATATAGAGGTGAATTGTCTGTGTATTTGTTTTCAACGACCTCGGGTTATATTCCTGGCCACGTTACATAATTGGGGATATTGAGTCTCAGTGCCTTTGTGTGTGGTGCAGTGGTTCCCACACTGCGCTATGAACTTGTTGACCTGGGTTCGATTCCAAACCATTAACAACAGTGGCAAGCGGTTTCAAACCATGTCCTGTTTAGTTTGTTGCACTACCCTCGCACTTCCGATTAGCACGGTTGGCTACGTACGGTGCGAAAGAAGTTAAACGTACGGTACATACCCAAAGGTCGACTCGGTCTTAAATTAGTATCTAGTGCCATAAGTATGTACTAAAGAGATTAAGGTCGCTATAATTGTTACTGACTACACTAATCTTTCATGCACCTCGAAAAGTGCTCACTAACAGATCTTGCCCTTACGTTCTGCAAGGCTGAAATGTGTTTGTCGTTGGTACAATGTATTTCTATATTATATCCAAGTATTTCCACGTAATATATGTTGGCATATATTCAAAACCGGTGAAAGTACATTCACATTTTAGCAAACAGTACTTCTTGATGATATTAGGTTTTTCAAGGCTGACCTGCACTTTTCATTTACGTGTTGTAACGTATTCACGTCAGAAGCATAGAAATATTTAGTACAACTATGCAGCTATTTGTATGTAAGAAACGCATCTAACCACAATTGTATTCATAACCACAATTGTACCATAAAGTCAACATGATGTATGGCAGTTGACCAGCATTGATTCATGAAAGCCTGAATGTGCTGATGAGACAGTTGGTGTTGAAGCCGGTCCAGTGTTTGCTGATTCTGAATCAATACTATTTAAATGTTAGTCCCAGAAGGCTGTTGGACCGATGGGTTGTATAATAAATACTCTTAGATTGTATGTGGAGTGACAGATATATAAAGAAGGCAGATTGTCTGCTTATAATCTATCTGTTATATTCTCCACAACGATGTCTATGATTATGTTGTGATGTGGTGAGAACGGCCTATGATGATTGATTACACATTCACTCGTGGATTCACCAACGCTGATGGTGGCGACGTGTTATTTTTGGGAGAGGTCGGTTTGGTGGGTAGCTTGATTTGGCCAGGAGTACCGTGGTACGGATAATCTTTTATGGACGAAACTGACATTTTGCAGGCTCGACCTCGTTACAATTATGCTACAGTCACCGAAGCCCATTAATTTAGTCATTTTACATTTGCTGTTTGGAGTTGAGATAAAGATTACAGCGCGCATGCTGTGCTCATGGACATGGAAAGGTGGTAAACTTTACATTTAAAAACTTTCATTTATAACGGGTCTACCTAAACTTCGAACATCTTGCACAAGTCCTGCTTTAGAGTCATATTTAATAATTATGACACCTTTAGCTAACGCGTAGTTGAATTGTGTATAAATATAACTTAACACATACATTGGTATTTTTGCTGAAATAAATTTATTCATTGGTATAGTCAAACCGAGTTTTTACTAATGTATTAGTAATCTCCCAATCCAAAATTATTACATAATAAATACAATACTGCAAATACATGTCTAATAATGATAAAAATGATAAATCATACCCTTCGAATACATTTAACTTTATCTTAAATAACATGTACTACTGTACAAGGGATTGGGACATTGACTGCAGAGATGACGCAATGAAATTATCTTCTGTGCAGGCCCTTTGGTGATTGCATCTCAGGATCGTTAGGGACAGCAACGGATATGAGAGCCAATCACCCAGCAGTGAGTTTGACTATGGCTGGCGATAATGAAATGTGTTGAATGAGGCCAGGATTACACGTGTCATAAAAAGCCAGGAAACTCCGTCAGGGGTAAGGTATGAGCTGTCAATTCGTCACGTGACCGCGGCAGCTTTACGTATACCTCTCAGTCCTGGAGGTTATCCAGTCCGCCTGTGTCTTTAAAAGACAAAGGCAACTGGCCGTGGTGCTGGCCACCCACCCCTATTTAGTGTGGCCATACCAGCCTTTATAGGTGTTCGCTAATCGCACTTGCCCTCGAGACCGTGGAATGCTATAGGGGGAATCTCTGTTTGTTTCATAAGTTGTGTTGAAGATACCAGTGACAGACTCACAAATAATGTGTAGTTTAGTAACGCTACACGTAATTCCAATTTAATTGCTTACTATACAAATGTGTGAGTCTGCTAAAGCTCGCATCTTTTCACGCTCAATAAGACATTGACAGGATGAGAAATGCACTGTTTGATATTTCACGTTTGGTCTGCTTGCTTGCATCATAACGGGAGTCGTTATCGTTTCAGCCATCGGAATACTGCAAGTTCAAATCTCAGTTGGCGCATCACCGCATTCCCTCCAGGGCCGATTGAATTACAATCACTCTGGGTAGTCTACAGCACAGCAGTTGTCCGATAACATTGGTTTTACCTCTAATAATATGCATTGTACATGGGTACATTAAAATTACAATTAACAATTAAATGTGCACACAATTTCATGTTAAATGTGATAACATTTGCAGTGTAAAATGGGTAACACGATGGATTTATTCCATATTGCCCTTCATTTACGCAGGGGCCTCCATAATTCCGTTAATTTTAACAGTATCCTGAACCTCCAAGACACATTTTATTGAGGGTCCTGGACTGGCAGGTTTGGCCATTTCTATCAACGAGTGCTCGGCATGTCTGAGGAATCCGAAGTAAACGGAAAACCCCACGCATGACGATGGCATAACGCTCAAAGAACCACATAGGTAGCCACCTGTATTGGCATGGCTCGTCCAATTAACTCGAGTATCGCCCTCCGTTAGGCTTTTAGCCCCCTTATGGAAACGCTATAAATGTGACGCTAGGAAGCACGCCAAGTGATTGCACTACTCGGCTATACATATCTGCATTTTTATTTCATAGTTTGAATTGGAGTACGTCTCTATATTTGATAACCCGCCACTCTCACAGGGCGCGCATGGCTTTTTCAAAGGTCAGGGAATCAAATGGCCATTTGTCCCTGCGATGATGATGTTTCCAATGAGACCACAATTTGTCAATATTTGGCCATTTTTGTAGGAGTGTAACCTTGTACACTGACACACGGACACGCATTTTATGAACGTATTGCTTCTACTATATGCCATTTATCCAGTGCTATTTTTAAAGAGGGTCCTGCATTTGTGTATCTGGACAATTCCAGATATTAGTGTTTGGCTTCATGTGACAGGAATGCCACAAACGATGGGATGATACTCGTAGCCCTTCCACGGACACGCTTTAAATTCAATCCACAGTCTCAATCCAGAGAGGACCACAATGCGCCCAGGGTTTTAATTTCAACCAGATCCGATCAAGTTCGGCGACCCGAAAATAATTTATCCGCACCCGGTACACCAAATTCAGTTTCCCCCTCGCTAAGGCTTCAGCTACTCGTTTGACGTGCCTACTCCAGTCTACGAGCGACTAGGATGACTCTTCATTAACTCTACAACAACCTGGCTATATCCATGATGCGGTCATACCTTCCAAGCAACGAACGAACCTCCCACCCTCCCTCCCTTGACAGACACCCGACCATCACAGACCGGGCGCATTCGCGGCGATATGAACACGACACCGCGTGCAGTATCGCCACTCGTGTACAGGCTGCTACCGTGAACGAATCGCCAGGAATGGTGCGCCAGATGAACTCCGTCGGGATATTGGAAGCTAAGCTGACTTTGAGCCCGCATATGAACAGTGCTCGGATGAGCGAGCACCGTGCACAGCAGGTGCTATCGGCATGCGCGCGAGGTTGTACCACGTTGCGGGCAGCAGAGGCAGGGCAAGTGCGGTAAATGTCATGATTGTATTGCGCTATGCGTCCCGCGTCTGTGCGCCGCCGCCCTCACGAACCCCCCCGCACTGCCGAGCGTGATGCATGCAGCACGGCATGGGAGGCTGGGGGTGGTTGGTGGTGCCATCATACAGTACTTTATACTTCACCCCCCACGACCTGGGCACAGCGCCCGGGTGGGGAAGCCCTCATCCAGCAGTGGGCTGACAACAGGGCCGTCTAACGTGCGCGTACAAATCCCCATTAGTGCCGCTCGCTTTAACATGTTGACGACCTGAAAACTATTGCGTGCGTGCGTGTGGTGGGGGCGGTGGCCACAAAGGGAACAACATCGGGCGAGCTTTGAGTCATAGCTGTTCTCACGAAAAGCACCGGCGACTCGCAAAGGGCATCAAGCGGGTAGCGAGAAGCTGACATGAGAAGAGAGAGAGGGAGAGGAGAGAGGGGGTAGCTGAGTGTGAGAGGCCAGCTCATGAGAGCCCCGTGCGGGGAAGGGCAGGCAAAGGTGCTGTCCGGAGGGTCTCGGACCAATCACCCCGGCCAAACCCAACAGGAATCTTCCACAGGGAAGGTGAACTCATCAACTTCGGCTGTCTGTGCCCATCACACCCATTGCAGGTGGGTGTCACAAGCAAACGCACTTTATTTTGTCACGTGGCGGGTCGTCAATGCGGTCCATTGAGTTATGGCGTTGAAGAAGACAAAAACTCGGCATATTCGTCAATAACACTGCCCTAAATGGAAACTACAGTATGTAATAGACGACGTTTCGGCCAGCGGCCCTTCTTCATAGCAGCGATCATAGCAGGGGTCGAGTCTCCCTGCTCTTAAGAAGGGTGATTGCTCGAAACGTCGGCTGTTACTGTACATTATTTCCTTTTAGGGCAGCGTTTTTAACGAATGCGCTGAACTTCTTAAATTGTGCACCACCGTCCAGCGTATTTTCACAAATGTGTATGCGTGATTAATGCTTTGTAGGGTTGAACATTGTTTCGACTCTTAATAACGCGCGTGTTGGTAAGCCGAGTCTTATATTTAGGCGTGGTGGTGGTGTATGAATGGCTCGGGGTACATGAGGAAATGAAATGCTGCTCAGTACAGTTATGTTGTGTATTGCATTTGCGAATACACCATTTTAGGGCCCAATGTGGAAACTTAAAACAGTGTTTCTAGAAATGCCGAATAACCTGCCTGACTCTTATTCACATCATATAATGTGTTTGTACTTCTTACAGTCTCAGGGGAGCTGTTCCGTTGTTTTTTTTGTAAATGAGTTTTACCGTCGTAATATTATCCGTTAAGGAAATTAAGTGGGCTTAGGCAGGACACGTGGCTATAATGGATTGATGGTTGCCGGTGATCGAGACTAACGGTAGGCTGGCAATTGAAGGGTAGAATATTATTTGATAGGACGTTCACCTCGTAGATGGAGTGATGAGATAAAGTCATGTGCAGATGTTAAATCGGATTGTTGAATCGCGGGACTGTGATCGATGGTGACGGCTTGGGAAGGCCTTTGTCAAGCAGTGGATAGATCATGACTGGTGATGATTACTGTAAAAAAAATACTTGACTGCTTTCGCATGCTGTGAGCCACATACATGCTATGCAATATAACAGTATCTATATTAAATATACAGCACCGTTACCCCTGATAAATAGTCTTACATCGTCTGAATAAGATATTGTCAACAACATACTTAACATAAGCGGCGGTTTGTATGGCAGCGAATTGACATCTAGCCAGAGGAACTGATGACTTAAGTAGAGCTGGGATATCAAATTACAGTATCTGTATATGAAACTATTTTAAAAATAGGTTGGTTAATAGTTACATGGAAGCCTTTGTGTGATGCACCCATCTCCATGCACATTTTTTTGCAAATACGAAATAGGAAGAAATAGGGCTGCGGATATTCGGACTTTTCGCGGACGCTACAGCTGCCACGGATTTTTGAAACCATAATAGAGCTACGGATAAGAGATCTCCAGTACAGTTTGTTTCCTATCTATACTTCCCGCCGTAATTCCTATTCTCTGGATTAACATGTTCACCATTTTTTGGCAGCTGATGCAACTTCATCATGGGTTGGTGAGAGTAACGGCAGATTGCACATATTCAAAGGATATTGCAGCTATACCTACACTACTTCCCTTTGATCCCAGATTGGCACAGCATATGATAAAGATAAGTCTAGACACTAAATAACATACTTATTATTACTTTAAGGAATTTGAAAAACGGACGTACAAATGCACATGGAAGCCGTTATCAGTCGCTGACAACTCGAGGTCTCATTAGCTGCAAATACAATTGCAAGCCTGGTATTGCCAAGTTGCCCCACACAAGTAGGTGGTGTATGACAAACAGTATTTTTGAAAGTTGGCCATTTCGGGTCACATTTAAAAACTTTGCATTTAAGTTTGGTGTGTGTATATAGGGGACTCGCCTAAGTTGGCAGATAATGTCAAGGATGATCATGTGTAAACTGGTAAGTTGAAGGGTTTAACTTGTGCCAGTAACGCACGTTAAAGGGTTTTCACCTTTTCCAGCAGGTGGTTTAGGAATCGCACTGAGTGCCGCCAGGTGATCAAGCTTTCCGTGTGCAGTCATGGAGACCGTGAGTCCCCGAGATAAGAAGGGCCCAACTTTGCCTGCTGCTGTCGGGCTACCTACAACAAGAAGTTCCAAGCGGGATCTCTGGCTAACCAGCAGGAGAGGCTGGCAGGCGACTGCTGTGGACCTCCAAGCGCCACCCACCACAGGGAGTAATGCCACCAAAGTTTACCTTGGACACCAGAGCGACAGCCTGAACGCGCACTGCACCCCTCGAGTGTCGTAAGTGAAAAAGGGATAAACTGGGAATGTCTTTAATTGCACCCAATTTTACGAGTTAATCTGTTGAGAGAGTTGGAGCAAACAGCACATTCCTGCTAGTGTAATCATGCATCGATTAACATTGATTCAAAAGCTAACAATGTATTGATTCGAGTTTGAAATAATAAATTTGTTGATGTAATGACGTTGCGTGGCTACTCTTTCTACTTTGAAAAAAACCTTATTCAGTTTCATGGCAATTCATTGAATCTTGCTGGGGACATTTTTACACCCTTTTTAGAGACTACAAGGAAACATGGAATTTCTTGGTTCTTCATATATTATGTATTGTCCTCAGTCTTACAAGTTTTGGCCCACCAAGTTAGGAACAATTAATTGAGCCCTCACCACTGGATTTTAAAATTATATATAGCTATATGCATTCACAGTACAGGTACGCATTCACAAAAGAGAACAGTTTTAGAAGCTCCTTATGATTCATTTTGATGACTTATCCATTAAAGTATTACTCAAGGCTCTATTTTAACCAGAGGATTCTTTGTAGTTGTTGCTTGTTCTTCCATACAAGCCTAACATTACCAACACCACTCTGTAACCAGCTGGCCTGCACCACTGTTCCACTTTAGCTTAAAAAAATCATGAAGTAAACCTCGAGCTCTCGCTGTTTCCCCCAGCAGGGTAAGCGAGCTGCTTTGTAAGCGTTCAGAGGACCCAGAGGAGGTCCTGTACAACCTGGGCTTTGGGAAGGATGAACCAGATGTCACCACCAAGATCCCAGCACGTTACTTCTCCAGTGTGTCGCAGGCACGAGGGATCAACGGGCAGGTGCTCCTCGCATCGCAGCTCGCACGCCTCTCAGGCGAGCACTCTGGCCTCGAACGTAAGTTGCCTCTTCAATGTTCACAACGTTTCTCTGTCGTGCTGCTTAACTCAGAGCCATGGCAGGCTAGGCCAAGTCTGCCTTCAGCTGTATGACTATCAACAAGGCCACCAGGAGGAAGAAATTGGCAGTTACAATTCCCATGCTCAGCTAGGCGGTTTTCTGGTGCTGTATTTGTGCTTGGCAGAGTTACAAAAATAATGTAAGGAATAATTTAAACTTAAAACCCATCTATTTGCATTTTATGAAGGTCTTTTTTAACAGTGTAATTTATATATGTCGAAAATATGGATTTGTTTTACTGTAAACAGTAAAACATTTAACTCAAACAAAACTATGAGCTATGCTTAATTATAAAAACAATTATGCTGTGGATTAAGAATAGTTTTAGACATAAAATATATATATACTAATTTGGCAAATTCTGCAAGTTATATAATTGATGGTTTAATTTTCGCCTTTTTTATTTGTTCGCAATTGCTTTAAACTGCAGTCTAATTGCCATAAACTGGATGATAGTGGGGTTACATTTTTGCAGTTTTTAAGGTCCATTTAAAACTATTTTTAACATGAGATAGCCCCTGTTTAGAGTTGTGTGATAATAGCTTTTATACATTATGTGAAAGGTACTATATAAGTAAATAAAATGTTGATAATTATGATGATGGTGGTGGTGGTGATGATTATGTTGATACTATAATACACTGATAATAAGCGACTCATTTTGATCTTGGAGAGGTCACATACAGTGAGGGAAAAAAATATTTGATCCCCTGCTGATTTTGTACGTTTGCCCACTGACAAAGAAATGATCAGTCTATAATTTTAATGGTAGGTTAATTTGAATAGTGAGAGACAGAATAACAGCAACAAAATCCAGAAAAATGCATGTCAAAAATGTTATAATTTGATTTGCATTTTAATGAGGGAAATAAGTATTTGACCCCCTCTCAATCAGAAAGATTTCTGGCTCCCAGGTGTCTTTCATACAGGTAACGAGCTGAGATTAGGAGCACACTCTTAAAGGGAGTGCTCCTAATCTCAGCTTGTTACCTGTATAAAAGATACCTGTCCACAGAAGCAATCAATCAATCAGATTCAAAACTCTCCACCATGGCCAAGACCAAAGAGCTCTCCAAGGATGTCAGGGACAATATTGTAGACCTACACAAGGCTGGAATGGGCTACAAGACAATTGCCAAGCAGCTTGGTGAGAAGGTGACAACAGTTGGTGCGATTCTTCGCAAATGGAAGAAACACAAAAGAACTGTCAATCTTCCTCGGCCTGGGGCTCCATGCAAGATCTCACCTCGTGGAGTTGAAATGATCATGAGAACGGTGAGGAATCAGCCCAGAACTACACTGGAGGATCTTGTCAATGATCTCAAGGCAGCTGGGACCATAGTCACCAAGAAAACAATTGGTAACATACTATGCCGTGAAGGACTGAAATCCTGCAGCGCCCGCAAGGTCCCCTTGCTCAAGAAAGCACATATATATGCCTGTCTGAAGTTTGCCAATGAACATCTGAATGATTCAGAGGACAACTGGGTGAAAGTGTTGCGGTCAGATAAGACCAAAATGGAGCTCTTTGGCATCAACTCAACTCGCCGTGTTTGGAGGAGGAGGAATGCTGCCTGTGACCCCAAGAACACCATCCCCACCGTCAAACATGGAGGTGGAAACATTATGCTTTGGGGGTGTTTTTCTGCTAAGGGGACAGGACAACTTCACCGCATCAAAGGGACGATAGACGGGGCCATGTACCATCAAATCTTGGGTGAGAACCTCCTTCCCTCAGCCAGGGCATTGAAAATGGGTCGTGGATGGGTATTCCAGCATGACAATGACCCAAAGCACACGGCCAAGGCAACAAAGGAGTGGCTCAAGAAGAAGCACATTAAGGTCCTGGAGTGGCCTAGCCAGTCTCCAGACCTTAATCCCATAGAAAATCTGTGGAGGGAGCTGAAGGTTCGAGTTTCCAAACGTCAGCCTCGAAACCTTAATGACTTGGAGAAGATCTGCAAAGAGGAGTGGGACAAAATCCCTCCTGAGATGTGTGCAAACCTGGTGGCCAACTACATTAAACGTCTGACCTCTGTGATTGCCAACAAGGGTTTTGCCACCAAGTACTAAGTCATATTTTGCAGAGGGGTCAAATGCTTATTTCCCTCATTAAAATGCAAATCAATTCATAACATTTTTGACATGCGTTTTTCTGGATTTTGTTGCTGTTATTCTGTCTCTCACTTTTCAAATAAACCTACCATTAAAATTATAGACTGATCATTTCTTTGTCAGTGGGCAAACGTACAAAATCAGCAGGGGATCAAATACCTTTTTCTCTCACTGTATCTTTCTGTGCACAGGCCGTTTCCGCCAGGTCAGGATGCTGGCCAACGTGGCCGACACGTTGAACCAGATCTACTCTCAGGTGTCAGGAGTGCACGTCCCCATGCTGCTGCCACTGGTGCGCACCCGCAGCCTGTTTGTGCAGCAGGAAGAGGGCGGAAGAGAGGAGGACCAGTGCACTAGCGTTGGAAACATTCAGCGCTCTGGCAAGACGAAGGTTGCCCGCAGGCTCATCAAGACTCTGTCCAAGCACAAATTGTTCGGTGGCACTGTTAACACGATAGATTACAACTGCTTGATGTTAGTCAAACAGCAACTCACCGTTCCCACAGCCGAGCCTGGCAAAACGTCATTACAGCGACCTGCCATCGCCACTGCTGGTGGCCATTTAACAAGAGAGAGCATGCTGGCTGAACCGTCACTCAAGACCGTACATTTTCAGTTTGGCGAGGCTTTTATAGCAGCAGGTTTAACTAACACTTGTCTGAAAGTGGTTGAAGAAAAATACTCGTGCACTTGTAGGGATTGCAGAGAGCCGGACTCAGGGAGAGAGGTTACTTTTCCAAAGTCTGGCATCTCAAAGCTCACAAGCTGCGTGGGCACAGCTGGTGAGGAATCAAGGGCTTGTGGGGAGCACAGAGACGAGCCCTCCGATATCATAGGCTGCTTTCAGACAAAATTAAATGAGGCGGAAACTCCCATGAGCAGGCAGTCATGCATCCCACGACCCAGTGCAGTCGTGCACAGAGACAAAGGATCATCAACTACCCACCACGGCCCGCAGGACAAGCCCAGACTCAAGGACTCGTTTGACCTGGAAGAGGTGGGGGTAGTGGATTAGGGATGTCAGCTACCTACCTTTGGAAACCCATTACCTTCCCCCCCTCATATGTTCATATTTTGCACCTCCTAGTATGTAATCACAGTGTTTAATTGTAATGAAAGTATTTGTTTAATATTTTAGTTTTTTATTAACACTTGTAAATTATTATAAGACAACATTTATATAATTTGCTTTTAATATTATTTCATGAGTCAGGAACCCCCACCAAATGTGCTATTTTTTCATATAATTCCATGGCAGTAATATATATATCATAGCAGTCTACCTTAGTGGACATGATGCATGAGAGGGTAAATGTAGTGTAACCTTAATTTTAATCAGGTGAGATCCCATTGCCACATGTCCTTTGTATGGAAGATCCTGAACATGGGACATAGATGCTAAGGTACAGTGTATAAAATTGTTATAATGCAAAATAACATTTGAAAAAGTCTAAATATATAATTATATATAGAATATGGAAGATTACAGTGAAATTTCAGAAAGTTTGAATTACTGAAGATAATAAGTCATACTATCGTATGTAATAATTTAATGTATTCTTACTAATGGCTGCTATGAAAATGCAATGCTACACACATACACTGCCACCGAGATGGGGAGTATGAAACGGTTTGAAAAAAATATACACGTATACACTTGCAGCAAAATATGAATGTGTTTATTCCAAGTCCTAAATCACCTCACCCTCGACCCTAGGTTCTGAATAATGATGGAGAGACCTGCCGAGCAGGGCTGCACTCGGCGGGTGCGAGGGAGTTCTGGGGTAAGCGGCCATTTCTCAATTAAAGCAATGAGTTTGCTTTCCACCGTTTCTCAACTCTTTACTTTCTTCAGCTACCCCTCTATCTTCCCTCATCTAATGTATATACAAGCATGCATTAATTCGTGCATACACACACTAATTAGGGTCCTTAGATTAACACTAAAATATTCTGATTATTTTAATAAACAGGGTGATTGTTTTATAGATATTGAGATGAAATAATAGGGATACATTGAACAGAACACAACAATTCAATTAAAAACCTCTGAAATCCATGCTACTGCCTACTCTAAAAATGGAGCAATCACTTTGACAATATTCAATCACTTGTTGAGAAAAAGGTCATAACAAATGAGTAGGGTATTTATAAATGGATCACCCTGTATTTTTGATCAACTATTCTGAATGACATTTCGATGTTACATTTGTTTCATTAATTTTTATATCTCGAATCCAGGTTTTGTATTTGGAAAATTGTATCTGAATTGTCTCAAATTAAAATTTTCTAGCGATTGTAAAAAAAGAATCACCGGAATTTACTCACTCGGTCACGCAGTCAAGACTGTTGTTATTTACCCGTATTCTTGTACATGGAAATTCAGTTTTCAGGTCCATATGGCGTACAGCCATTTCAACACTGGCAAAAAAAAATGTCTATTTGTTTGTGTTTCTCCTTTGTGATTGGACTTTGTAGGATGAACGTTGAGATGTATAAGGGGACGGGGTCACTAATAAGGTTTGAATTGGTCTGTAATAGGGTAGGCACTGATAAGGGGTTGACAGGTATATGTATGGCACCATCACACACGCCAACCCTGCGTGTATACGCTGTACAGGGCTTCCAGCGCGGACCGGCAGTGCACATTCAGACAGCAGTGGCTATGCCGAAGACCCGGCCGTCTTTGACTGCAGCTCTGCTGTGCACCACCAAGTAAGAAAATCTATTTTCACCAAATGACTTAGATCGTTATATCAATTTCCAAAAACTTTGTAATTTCAGTGTGCAGGTTTATTGCAGTTATGCTTTGCTGTATTTCCATGAAAAATCTTGCTGCAAAGTTCTTGAACTGCAGGTTACACAATATAAGCCTGCATCATAGGTTTCCACTTAACAACCTATAATGCACATGCGTACGCGCGCTTGCGAGGGATTTGGCTCTCGAACGGTGGGCTTTACGTCGAAAATTTTTTGCCAGCCAGCACGCCCTAAGCCCCGCGGTGGGAAGACGCTATTCCTTTTTTACGTCCGTCACCTTTAAATTAGTTAAATTAGCGATTTAGTGGGATTTTGGTTTATTTATTTATTGCGTGACATCGGCCGTACCAACTCACTCCAATTGCGTGGAGGGGGGGCGGACCCTGCCAAGTGATGCGCGTTCGGTCGAGCTCACGGGAGACATTTTCTTTTACGCGTTTAACATGCAATAAATATACACATCACGCTGCGGCTATTTCTTCACAGTCTGGTGTCCTTTTCGCCCCCCCACCAACAGGATGCGTGCAGTTACTGCTATTAAGTCCGTTGATATTAATATTATTACAGCGCTTAGATAGCATTATTGTAGTATTTTTGTTTACTAATATTAAACAGATACGTTGGCAGATATTACAATAATAATGTTTGTGTGCACAAAACTAACTTTTCATTATTGGGTTGCTAAATATTCCCTTTTTTAGCTGTGCTTTTATGACGCTGCGACGGTCTACTGCCAGTCTGATGTGGCCTGCTGCCTGCTGATTAATTAATGTCAGTGCACTGGCACTCTATTATCTACACGGCTAATTTTCCTTTTGACTATTATGAGTTTGTCAGTCTATCATCTGTTGCCTGCTTCTTTACCTCACTCAGTGTATTGCCAGCCTTTCATGTCAACTGTATTCTGCTTTTTCAGCTGCTGCCCGTATTGCCAGCTTTTTATGTCGACTGTAGCAATGGTTATGTCATTGAGTCGGCGTACTGGCAGTCCATAATCTAGACTGTAGCCTGCTTCTCAACTTACCTGTGCATACCGCTGCTCTTTAATTTACACTTATTTCTGATTATTTCTTCAATGCATTTCTGCGATACTGATAGCTGTGCCATCATCGGGGATTGCTGTGCACGTCGATGTGTGTGTGTGAGTCGATGTGTGTGTGTTTGAGTCCATATGTGTGTGCGTGTTGGTCCATGCGTGTGTTTAAGTCCATGTGTGTGTCTGTCTTTTTTTAACGGAAAACGCCCGATGTGTGTCTTGTGTACATCGAAGTGTTTGTGTCATTCCAAGTGTGCGTGTCAGTCCATTTCTGTGCGTATCAGTCGCTGTGTGTGTTAGTCAATGTGTGTGTGTTAGTCGATGTGTGTGCATGGCTCCATCTGAGTGTGTAAGTCAATGTGCGTTTGTGTGTCTATGTGTGTCAGTCGATGTGTGTGTGTGTATGTCGATGTGTATGTGTGTGTCAGTCCATATGTGTGTGTTAGTCCACATGTGTGTGTAAGTCCATACATGTGTGTATGTGTCACTCGATATGTGTAAGTCAATGCGTGTGTGTGAGTCGATATGTGTGTGTTCATCCATGTGTGTGTATCTAAAGTAGATGTCTGTGTGTCACGGTCCATATGTGTATGTGTGTGTAGGGCAATGTATGTGTCAGTCTATGTATGTGTGTGTAAGTCCATGTGTATGTGTCTTAGTCGATATGTGTGTGTGTAAGTTCATATGTGTGTTTATGTCAATGTGTGGGTGAGTCCACGTATGTCTGTGTGTGAGTCGATGTATGTGTGTGTGAGTCGCTGTATGTGTGTACGTCGATATATGTGTGTGTAACACCATGTGTGTGTATCTAAAGTGGATGTCTATGCGTGTGTGAGTCCATATGTGTGTGTGTGTGTAAGTCCATGTGTTTGTGTGTGTCAGTCGATATGTCTGTGTGTGTCAGTCCATGGGCGTGTGTGTTAGTCGCTTTGTGTGCGTGGCTCCATGTGAGTCAGTGTAAGTCCATTTCTTCGCGTGTCTGTAGGTCCATGTGTGCGTGTGACTGAACGTAAGTGCTTTATTGACCTGCTCAAGGCCTATGATACCATCAGTAGGCCTGGCCTCTGGGTTGTTCTTCATGCTTTCGGAGTCCCTCACCCTTTGCTCACGATCTTTAAGGACCTTCATTATGGTGAGCGGCGCCGCGTCAAACTACGTGGCCGTCAGTCAGAGCCATTCCCTCTTCACCTTTGGGTGTGACAGGGATGTCCTCTGGCTCCCACATTATTTAACATATATTTTCACCACATAGTTTGTGATGCCTTCAATGGCTGTACCGGAGGAATTACCATATGGTACAGATACAATGGGAGGCTGATCGATGCCCGGGTGCGGTCAAGGGATGGCTCCCTATTGCTCAACCATGGTATGTATGCCGATGCTCTGGTAATTGCTGCTCACTCAGAGGAGGAGTTGGAGGCACTGCTGCTGAACCTGGAGCTTGCCACTAAGAGGTGGGGCCTTACCATCAACCCTACCAAAACTAAGCACCTGCCTGGGTATTTTGCACCATCGGACAATCCACCTCCACAACTCACAATTGCTGATGCACCAGTTGTGGAGAGATTGGAGAGATTCCCATACCTGGCCAGTGTGCTCATGACCGGCTCTGGTTTAACAGCAGAGGTCTCACTCCAAATCAGTCGAACGCCATTATCCTTTCATCGGTTGCGTTACGCTGTGTAGAAGCTACCTGGTCTCTCGCTCCGCATGAAGCTTCAGGTTTTCTCGGCCACGGTAATTCCCTCCCTTCTCTACGCTTGCGAAACGTGCACCTCCCTAATGGAATATCTTCGCCGGTTACAAACATTTATGCTGGCCTGCTAACGATCCATCCTGGGTTTAACCATATGTGTGTGTGTGCGTCTAAGTCGATGTGTTTCTATGTGTGTGGGTCGATGTCTGTGTGTAAGTCCATGTGTGTGTCACCTTTTTCGCCCGGGAAATGCCGGGTACTTACCGCTAGTGTTTTAAATAAATGCACAATGACAATTACGATATTTTACAAAACTGGTGATATGATTATGATGGTTTTTATATTGTATGATATATCATATATCGGCTTATCGTAGGAAACTTAATGCGGATCCATCCGCCTGATGGAGTTTTAAACGATCAGATAATGAACGATTTTCATTTATAAGGGTACAACCTGCTAACGATGCGTATATTTTTCAATGGAAAATGGCAATGGCCTAACCTAATTTAATGAATATTCCTAGAATTAAGTGGAAATGCTGCAAGTGTTTTTTGTTTTTCAGTCACAGTTATCTTTCAACCGGTGATTAGCATATTGCACTTAAATCCGACGACTTGAGTTAAATTCCTGGTAAAAGCTAACATCAGCGAGTCAAACAACCCACACCTTCATCCAGCAGTGGATTGATAATGGGATGTAAATATTGTGAGACTAAAGAGCCCTAATTTTCTAAAGCCTACCGAAAGAATCAATACATGCAAAGCATACTTTAGGTCAGCAATTCTCAGAGATCTATTTTTTAACAGTCCCCAATCACACACATCATCGTATGTATCTAATTAGAGAAGTTAGCATCAAAGAGTATACTACCAATAAAGGCACAAGGATTAGACCTTGAGGATGTCTGGCATAAAAAAATCCACATTAGTGTGCTATACTGAGAGGTCGGTTGCTTTATGTTTGACTCATGAACGGTATTTGATCGTTAACAGCAGAGCACGGACTTCCTGATTGGTGCTGACAGCCAAACGAGCCAGGGGATCCCCTTCGCACCATCATGCATCTCTGAACAATTGCCTTGCGGATCCCTGCTGCCTCCCTGTGATATGCGGTCGTGGCCACACCTCGGTGAGGCCGTGCCCTTGGCTGACAAATATCATCGTGACGGAGAAAGAATTGAGCTCAAGGCACACCCAACAAAGAGCTTCTACGAGCAACCTGGGGGATTGCACTTTTCCGCTTTTGAGGATTTCATCGGTGGGTCACAGACATTGAAAAGGACGCAGAATGGGTCATCTGACTCATTGGGAAACTCACTAATCTACAAAGTGCCTCAGAGGAACCTATTCTCATCACGCACACCCAACAGGCAATGCACAGCCTGCCAGACAGAGCACGTCCCTAGCGAGAACGACAGTGTGATTGCTGATGATGAATGTGTGGCCACTGCACCAGGTGACGCACAACATCACTCACTCAGGGAACGCAACAAACAGCGGTCCGTGTCTACTCAAACTGACAGTGTGGACACATCCAGTACAATCAGGGATGCTGTCCCTACAGCTTGCACGTTCTCACATCTGCCTCTGCGCTCCCACACAATGATAGTGATGGGAGACCATGAGAAGAGTTGCGAGTTTGCAGTGTCCAGCAGAGGAGGCATGCCTGAGACCCAAGATGGGACTTCGGGCCATCAGAAGTTTGCGTACACCAGCAACAATCGCGTCCGGTTAGCATGTGTGTGTGCGCATCATTGTGAATGCCATCTCCACGTGCAACGTCAGTGCCACCATCGAATGTACCCAGAATGCATCGATTGTCACAAGAGCTGTGAACCACGTGTGCTCTTCCGGTCACGCAGTCTTGATGATCTTATCATGAGCAGACGTGGACTGCACTATAGCCTCATTGTCCAAGTGTGAACCTGTGCGATTCGTCACCACTGCCTGTGGGCTGCAAAAATGCTGTTAAATATGCACCGTATATTCCTTTGTTACGATCGCCACCTGGTGGTGTTTTGTGTTACATTCAGCGATTTTTGTTTTCGCTGGAGTTAAAATAAAGGATCAGGGTTCATAGCATTGTCAGTTGTTTGCCCATGACACCTTCCGACCAAGAAGAAAGATACATCATACCAAAGTTATGTAAATACTTTCTAAGATGTGTTTGTTCTCGGGAGTATTTAATAAACAATAATGACGTTACAAATGCTGTCGTGTCATGGTGAGCACACTGGACTTGCCATCCAGAGATTGTCTGTTCGCATCTCCTGGCATGGAGTTGAAACAATTAGCAATATACACAGCACTGAGACCCACCAGCAGCAGATGGCTGGATTGGTAACAGTGATGTTTTTGGGTAACAACACCAGGATAAACTGCTTGGGTAGACAAACTTAATCTTGCAGAATGTATTGTGCACTGTGCTAGCCTTGAAAGACGACCTTTGTCTATGTTTTTGTGGTGCTGGGGGTTCGGACCTGCAACCATTGTAACCACAACCAAATGAGTGGTGGCCACCGCAGCAGTTGCTCTCGACCTGTCAGCCAAGCCGTCGGCATTTCTCTGTATAAGAACCTACCTGCCTGTCTATTGATCACTGCGTCTCTGCTTGCCCAAGGCTGCATCGCACATCTTGTCTCCAATGGTTGTGTCGGTCACACCTGGTGCTTGAAGTCTGTGTCGCCAGTGTCACGTATGTGAGGGCCGACGTCCACCGCACCGCCCTCGCCGGGCAGGTTGGGCGCGACGTCTACCCCTTCCACTCCCTCCTCCACCGCGTCGGTCGGCTCCCGCCGGGCCCCCACCGACTGCGTGATCGGGCCCCCCGCGCTAGTGCCCTCTCTTAGGGACATGCTCATACTGCTGGCACACACGCCCGCGTACACCACCAATAATGCTAACGCGGCGGCTAGAACGCGCGTGCATCTGCAGGTGGTTACACCCTAACACACGCACACACCACAGCTAACGCGGCAGCGCGAACGCGCGCGCCCCTGCAGGCGATTATATCCTAACACGCGCACCCACCACAGCTAACGCTAGCGAGGCGGCGCGAACGCACGCGTTTCCCCACGCAGTCGCTCCACACACAAATCACAGACAGTACACCTATGCTCTGTGCTTACTTTTATTCACGGCGCAAACCCTGCACTACCCGGAGGGAATATTCTTCGAGCAGAGCCTAGCCTACTGCTACCCAAGTTCCAAATACTCACAAGCCCTATCACATACCTCGCAGCTGTACTCACGGCGTCGCACGGACGCTGTGAGAGTCGGAGGGAGGATGACAACAAAACCTTGCCTATCACTGCCTCGTAGCAGCACTCACTGGCATCACACGGATGCTGCGAGCGGCTCGAGGAGGCAGGACGGCAGGGGGTGGGGGGGCTTGGCAATCCAAGCTGTTGAAGAAGAGTTCTCCTCTGAACCGTTTTTGACTCCCATTTTTATGCCCCTTGACTTAAAAAATCCAGGGTTACGTTATCCCACGCGGCCAATCGTGCGCCTAACTGATTTTCGCTCGTTTTCCTTCTCGTACATGGAGCGTTGCTATGGTTACTTTGCGACCTATTGTCTATGCACCCGTACTCATTAATTTATGACTCAACCTGTTTAATCTGGAAGGACGTCCGGCTGTCGAATACACACCCTGCTAGTGTGTATAGACAAAGGTCGGATCTCCTGACCTCATTGTCTGCTCTACTCCCCGATGTCGTGCATGACTCATTACGGCTGGCTCGGTGAAACTCTGTGTGACCATACAATTTTAAGACAATTTAGGGGCACCGCAATGTGACTGGAAACCGTAGGACTTTCCCTCTAGGAACCCTTAGGATTAAAACCCGTTGTGCCAGGCAATCCCCCGCCGGGACACTACGTGCGTGTGCTGCGTGTGTGTGTGTGCTCAGGGTGGGGGCTAGGGGGGAGTCGTGGCACTTGCGGAGTTGATCCGCGGCAGTGGCACCGCACGTACACATGGCCTTAAAATCCAGTCCCTCACATCTGGACCTATTTAATTGTGTGTTGAGACACTTTCAGGAATGTCAGACCCCCTTTTGCGTATTGCTCCTGAGGACATTCAGTCCTTGCTTTCACATCACTCCATTCATAAAGCATTGTTCAGCCTTTCATATTGACCTCCATAAAATACATAGTACAAACTCTTGCGAAATGCCAACCTTATAAAATATGCTCAGGTGCATTATTGTGCACTTTCTACCACTCAAAGAGTATACAGTATTTCTTATGTTAAACATAAATACAGTTATATAATTTTTCATGATACCCTATTATATATGAACACTTATATGAAATGTTGTATGCTATAATGGTTAGCGCACTGGAATATCAATTCAGATGTCACCGGTTCGAACGCCATTGAAACAATGGCAGTTTGAACAATAAATAAATCCACCCCCATACCACAGTTAGTCGATTGACATGTCACGTGTCATGATTTCAAGGCGTGCCAGTTTGAAAGGGTAGACGAAATACCTTCTTGGAGGGGCTCTTTAGAGCTTCTAATGGAGACTATTTTGCCACTCGTGTAAGCAAGACATTTCAGGGCCGCACCTTTATCGTATTCTGTAATTGTCGTGCAGACACTATACTCTGGAGACAAATGCAGTGCAACCAATCTGTGCCATGAACGCGCGCTTACATATTGCCTTGCCAAATCCTGGCACGTTGCCACATCTGATTGCTCATTGTATCTTTCTATAGTAATATTTCGGTTCAATGCAACTAATTCGACTAAACTGTGAATTTCAATTTCTTTATTTCTCAATACCTGACAAATCAGTAATTGATGAACATTTATCATTTTCTCAACTTTTTGAGCAAAACCAGTCTATATTCTTCGAGATAGAGGGCCAATGGAAAAGTTTTCCTATTATTGACCATCAGATGGAGCCACAACACAAGACATCAACAGGCAAAAACAACTGCAGCTCGCTATATAATTTATGCGTGTATTTTGTTCACTGCAATACATTCCTTTGTTAAAATACATTTCACACATTCAAGTTTGAGTTCCAGCTCATTTGACCCAATTTGATGTGTAATTAAGTGCTCACAACATATTGCCTAGTGTAAGAGACACCATATTGTGGTTTTGTATAATAACAGTTTTTTTCCCCCACTGATGAATTGTGCTCCATTGGACATTGATTTTGCTCAAGCCGCAGTGCTGGATATAGGTCTGTTTTATCTGGCTGCCATCTCTGTTCACATCTGGCCGAGAGCACAGATTGCGATAAAAATGTAGATACCCATGGTTCTTTCGGTAAGGTCACGTAGATAAAAAAAAAATAATAAAGTAAATACACTAATGTAGACAGTAGCCTGGTTCTTAAGTTTGGTGAGTGTACTGGCAGTCTATAATGTAGACTGTAGCAATGGTTATTCACCTGGGTGAGTGTAATGGCAATCTATAATGTAGACTGTAGCCTGGTTCTTAACCTCGGTGAGCGTACTGGCAGTCTATACTGTAGACTGTAGCCTGGTTCTTAACCTCGGTGAGTACTGGCAGTCTATAATGTAGACTGTAGCCTGTTTTTTTAAGCTTGGTGAGTGTATTGGCAGTCTATAATGTAGACTTATTCTTCATCTACATTATAGACTGCCAGTACGCTCAATTAGGTTAATAACTTTCTCTTGGTCTACATTATAGACTGCCAGTACGCTCACTCAGGTTAAGAACCAGGCTACAGTCTATAATGTAGATTTATTCCTTATACTCCGACTATGCAATCCGCAAAGCTATCACTCCAACCATGAAGAAGGACCCTCTTGATGAGCCATTCAAAACCATAACTTTACCCTACATTGCAGGGATCACAAAATGATCTCCAAAATCTTGAATAAACACAAGATCCAGGTCCGATTCAACACATTACATAAAATCCGTGATCTGGTTCCGTCTGTAAAAGATGTGATATCGGACATACAGTACCTTGGCGTCTACAAACTAAGTTGCCTCTGTGGTAGTAGTTACATTGGAGAAACCAAACGACATGTCTCTGACCGCGTCCGTGAACACAAAGCAGACCTAAAACACAGTAGGACCAACACCTCGACCGTGGCAGATCACTGTTATAATTCAGTAGGCTCACATGACATTGACTTCTCCAAGATAGAGGTTTTCTGCAAGTCATCTGGCTACCATGAGAGATTCGTTCATGAGGCTATCCACATATACAAACACAGAGACAATTTCAAACGAGAAGATGGATTCTGGCTTAGCAATCATTGGAAGGATTTGATAAACCATTTCGGGTCTTAATTGATTGTTCACGCTTACGGTGGCTTTCAGACCGCATCCATTATTTTTGTTTCCCCCCTCCTCTTTTCCAAACATAGATGGACTCGTTCATCTCAATAACTGCCAAATCGCTCTCCGTGGTGCTAACGTTAAAAAAAACCGCCACTTTATTCAAATTTTCCTGCTTTGGTTTTCACACCTGATGATGATTGCTTGTGTTTCAGTCAACACGTCGTGAGAATTTTATTGCTTTATATTTTTATGATTTTGTTTCCCTTCTACATGACTTTACCGAAAGAACCAAGAATATAATTACGTCTACTTTCTATATCTCAATTGGTTATTGCCTTTTCTTCGGGCATTCTTAAAATGTGAAACAAACTGGGATTCATTCAAAATAGAATATGAAGCAACAATGTTTACTTCCCATTGAAACAAATGTTACACTTTAAATAGTGAAGAAATAATTTGTATGTACTGTATTTGTACAAATATAAGATTCTTTTAAATTTCTAGTGCCCTGCAGTATCAACAAATCAAAGCATCTGCCCGTTTTTTTAGTGTGGAGATTCTACAATGCGACCCAAAAAGCTATGGGGGCTCAAGCCGTGTTCCGTTGTGCATGCAGAATACAGACATCTGACAGCACACATGGTTTGTGCGTGAAGCGAGCCTAAAAGGAAAATCCTTGAGCAGGAATTTAAAAGTTACTGTGATTCACATTCTTTGTAATTTTGTGTCTGCTGGGAAATAGCTTTGGACATCCGCATTGCAATTAGGGGAAGACAGAGCCAGGCCACATTGGGATATTGCCTTGGAAATAAAGCAGTGTTCAATTGCAGCACATTCTCATCCATCACACTCGGTGGCTTCACCTTTCTCTATGAATGTTAATGTGGTCGCTTGAGATACGTTGGAGGCACATTCCCCATCACATCACTGTAGGAATCACAAGATTTGTACAAACCAAGGAAGACCGCTATTGTACGCAGAATAAAGCCTCACGTATTTGGCAAGACTCCGATACAAGGAACCAATAAC